TGAGTCTTAATGGTTTATCGGCAAAGATATCGGTAAATATTCTATTTTACTAGATCAAAAATTCTTTGTAGCTCGTCCCCCTTTCAAGTTATTATTCGTTAACCCAGTTGAATTAAAATATAATTCAAACTCAATAATAAATTTTTCGAACATAATTATTTTATGATTTCTTCCAAATCTATGCAAATTTTTATTGTATTAAGAAATATGCTAGAAATTGTTGTTTTCATAGATGACTTTGAATTGTTAGATGACTTTCATTAGTTAACTCTGAAGCAATATCTAAATACAACTTCTAGACTTAAACTATTAAGGAGAAATGTGCTAATTTACAAATCGTAAGACTACTTTTGATTGACTCTTTTTGATAGTAGAATATAAAATCTATTTTGGTTAACCTTAAAATCTATGTTTTTTTGGTAACATTACTTCAAAAATTTAGTAAATCAAATTAAATATCCTTTTTTTTTGTTTATTTGTATTTTTTCTTTTAAATAATTTAATAAATAAATACAAATGTACGTTTACATATGTACATATAAATATGTACCGATGTACACCCTACCCTGGAGTACATATATACATCAGATTCTACAAAATCTTTATTGTTGGGCAATATTTAGTGACATTAGAAACTATTAGGATATTCTTTTACATATCGTAAATATTTTATCATATTTCAAGTTCTATACTCCTAATGTCAATAAAATACGTAAGTAAAAGCATTCGAGTTTGCAAAGGTAAAGTAGTAAAAAGTAGACGGAAACAGGTTATGCACGAAGCACAAGTTTGTTTTTAATTTAGAGATAAAACTTTTTATACAGGTCTAATAAAATTTATTTAAAAGCCTTGTATTAAACTGGACCCCTACCTTAGTCAGTGTAGCTGAGATTAGTTAAGAGTAGTAGGCGTTATACACACTCAATATATCTTCACATAAGTTTATTGCTTATTGCTACGGGTATAAAAATAAATACCAAATATTTTTATATACCAAATATTTTTCTGAACATACAAATGTATATATTGTAAATATAAGTTATGTAGATGTACACGTATATTGATAATAAATCAAAATTTATTGTGTCATAAAATAAAAGAAAAAAAAAATCGTCAAGAAGAAGAAAATTTTAAATAAACCCTTTGCTTTTTATAATAATAATCGTTTTTGTATACCCTCAATAAGTGAAAATTAAGTAAATTTAAATATCCTTATTATTTAGGTATAAAAAGTATGTATATATAAAATATTTCCTTATAAACTTTAATACCAGACATCCTTAAAGTAATAAATATATCTGTATACACATGTGTATGTGTATGTTTGTCTATTCAATGAAATATTCACTTAAGAATTATGGAAATGTGTATTTGTCATTATATCCTGTTTCTTATTTTTTGGGGAATTTAATTTTTTCCTTTTATTATTCTCTACTTAATGCTATGTTCTTATTATTTAATTTTTTTTTATTATTCTTGTTTTTATTATTAAATTACTGGTTGTTATTTTGCATTCGAAATTTTATATCCCAACTAAAATATTATTTTTCCTTCCAAAAAGTTTAACTTTTTCCATAGCTTGAAATTTCATTTCATTATATTGTTTTTTTTTTTTTTGTTACTTCCTGGCAAGGAAAAAAAACACAATTACATAAATGTAAAAGTTTATATAAAAAAGCAAACATACAAACACACGCTCATGTACTTAAGATATTCAAGTAGTTAAAAAATGTTTTTTTTTTCTTTCTTTCTAAGGGTAATAACCCTTAGCAAGGAAATCTCCATCGAAAATATTGAAAAAAAAAATCCAAAGAACGAAGAAATAGAAAATTTAAATTTAGAAGAAGGAAAGCACTTTTTCCTCCATATGTACATAGTTTGTGAGACACAATTTCCTAAAAAATTAAGCAATAAATTTATAAAATATTTATTTTAATTTTGTTTGTATAGCAGGTTTAGGAATTGAAAAGGTGGAGTTCAAAATTAATTAGCTGTGCTTACTCATTGCCTCTGGTCAAAAAACTAATTTTGTGTTTTTATTGTTGTTGTTCTTGAAAGAATTGTCGTCTAAACATATCCATTACTAGACAAGCTCAGAAGAGTAAAAAGATTAAGAGTAAATTAGAGAAAATTGAGTGTCGTGAATTTAATTTTGAAATTTTTGCATTGGAAAATAAAAAGATCAAGTCAATTTTTTGATAAATCAAGGAACATGTGAAAATGTTTGAGATTTATTAAGTTAAGAATTTCATGCTTTTTTGGATCGATTTATTTTTGAGTATTCGAATAAGTTACTGCAAATATTTTACATTTTAATTCTATTTTTTACAAATTTAGAAAAAAGTATTCTTGTATAAATTCTTTTTAAAGTTCTCAAATGAATCTAGAACCTACATATCTATTTTTACCTTTTATCAGATTAACAAAGTTTAAACGTAGTAATTCGATTACAACTCTTAAATAATAATGTGCAGTCAAAGCCTCAAATCTTCTTTTTATATACGATATGTAAGTTCAAATCCGGTTTTCTAATCTACTGATGAGTTCAACTAGTTGAAAGGCTCAAATAAATTGAAATAAAATACGATAAGATCATATTTATTTTAAAATTTGAAACAACTGCGTTTTTGGAAATCAGGAATAAAACTATGACAGCATAATAAGACTGACAAAATAAAGAAATTTTAATTTTGTCTCTAAAAAACGTGAAAGACATTTTTAGCAAATGAAAAAAATTTTCATAAAAAAAAAAGAAAAACAAATTAACAACCAACCATAAAGAAAAGTTTTTCTTTAAGTAATTTTTATTTACTTTATCAATCATTTCTCTCAATAAACATTTTTTTTTTCCAAAATAATTTCAAATCGGAATATACATACATACATACATACTTACCTCCACATTCATAATTTTTACATATTCATCGTAAATCAAATTTAATATGCAAATAAAGACAATTTAATAAAAGCAAAAAATTACAATAAAAAAATTGTCCTTATAATTTTTTTATTTCAAAATATATAAAAGTAATGCAAGTAAACCATAACTGGAAAAGATAATGTAGTAAAAGGGCTTTTAAAATGGGGAGACAGCAAAAAGATGGCAACAAAAAGAATTAAGAAAATGTTCAACAAACCAAATAATTCTCTTTTTTTCTTTTCTTGAAGTAATCCTTAGGACACATTTTTTACTTTCCTAAAAATACTCATGCACCTATATATATTATAATATACCTATATACCTATATATGTATATATAAAATATACAATAAGTATTTTTATGTATAAAAAATTGCAATAAAAATTTTTAATTTTTATTATTACTGTGACATTATTAACTTGAACCTTGACTCACTTCTTAAAGTTTTGAATGCATTTCCATATAGATTGCTTTATATTTTTGACAAAAAAAAATAAAATTAAAGGAAATAAAGTTAACAGATTTTATTTTCCAATTGTTGGTCCAGTTTCCTACAAGAATCTTATATATAAGATTAATTTAGAATAGCTTGAAGTTTTTCTGCATAAGATGTTGCCTAATATAATTCAATTTTAATTTTGGACAACTCATTTTTTTAAAATATCGTATAAATTCATCAATTTGCTACTGTTCCTCTTAATTATCTTATCATCCTGATGATATGCGATTGTGTAACATTAATTGTAATATTAATTCGATGGTTGTTTTTCAAATAGTTAATATCATTTTAATAAAATATTTTTGCTTCAAAAAAAACTTTATTAGAATCCGTTGGTTTGATTCGAATGCTTTGGTTTGGTTTGAACATAATGAATTTATTTTAGTAGTAATACTAAAATAAATTAAACTGGTCCATTGACAAAATAGAAGAACTCGTTTAATATAAATCCATAAGTTCTTTTGCTGGAAAAAATCATAAAATTCGAAATTATTGAAATTTGTAATTCGAAAATTTTTAATTTTCAAATTACAAATCAAATAAAAACTTGAACAAATTGAAAAATTTTTTACTATACGTCATCCATAATTCAAGGCTCTGTTTAACTCAGTTTATACTTGAAAAAATTAAATTGTGCAATATTTGTATTGTGCTGCCTCTTAACGAAGGCAAAGTTAACAATATTCTTTATAACCCTTATCTAATAAAACTATTCCGTAAAAATGCAAAAGAGCTGTGTATATTTTTATGAATACAAAATTTCTAGTAAAGTAATGATGAAGAATATCGCATTTTTTGTCTTAAGTAAATTTTAAAATAATGCTCTTTTGTGAACTTGAATTTCAATGTAACTTTGTTTTTCTTCACATTTTTAGAAAATTTATAGATGTTAATTTTTCGAAACATCTGCATAAGTCAACTGAAAATTGAAAAGAGGAAAACAAAAGTTAGAAGTAGAAGATACTGTACTATACGACTAATGTTAAAAATAAAAAAGAAAATAATTCAGTCCTTCATAGTTTCTTATTGGTATATGTATAAAAATACATACATTTTATTTAAATGTATAAAAATATTTCTTGTAGCTTCTTACATGCTGTGATGATTTTCTCCATTATTAATATTTCAATCTTTATTCCATTAGGACTCTCGTGTAAACTCTGCTTACTTGCAAGTAATTTTTTTTTATTTTTTTTGTTTTCCAATTCGAATTCATTTCATTATAGTAACAAAGTAATAACACACACCATGCTATCATTTTACCATTTTTGAAAGTAATAATAAATAATAATGCAAGATTTTATTTGTCATGAAAAATTGTATAAATTTCTTTATCAGCATAAGATGCATCCTGGTCACAGTTATACGTTTTACATTGCATACGTCGTTTTAAAAAAACTTTATTATTACTAGATTTATTATTTGGAATTTTAAGTGTTTTTAAACCAACAACATTAGAAGAATTCGATGATGAATTTTCTTTATTATTAGCAGTGGATGAACACGCATTATTATTTTCTTTTGAAATTTCTATACTATTATTATTTTCATTATTATCCTTATTTAATTTATTTTTTATACAATACCAAATGCAAACAAATGGTCTAAATATAATATCACCAAAACATTTTATGAAATTTTTAAATATCTTTGCAGTGGCGCATATAAAGCGTGTCGTTTCAGCCATAAATGTATAACAGAAAGGATTCAAAACACAATTGAATAATGAGAGGATACCAAAAGAATAATGCATTATCCAATGGATAGAACGATTATAAACTCCATATACTCGCATTAAAAGAAATATCCATGTTGGAAGACGACATATTAAAAATATAGTTATCAATAGTATGATGACAATAAAGAGACGTAATTGACGTGTTTTACGTCTTTTATGAGTTGGATAATTTTGTAAGTGCTTCATGTTCTCATGATTTACTCTTGATGGTAAAGGCTGCTTATGAAATTTGTATTGATGTTGCTGTTGTTGTTGACTTGATGTGTATTGCATTTTAACTCCGACTGTCGTTGAAATAATTTCGGATTCAATAGCTTGATGTTGTTTTGATGTTGATTGAATGTTGGAAATATTAACGGAAACTATAACGTTGGTATCATCCAATTTGTTTTGAATATCATTTATATCCGCAATATTACTTGTACTATTTTCTAAAGTAGTTTTTAAGGTGGATGGTGATGCTAAATTTTTCGTTGAACTACTTGTTTCGCTTGAATTTTCAACGGTATTTTCACTGTTCTTGCCAAAAACTTTATTGCAATCAATAATGGAAATTCTTTTTAATGACTTAATAGTAACTGGCGACTTTGACAGATTTATTGTTTCTCCTCCTTGCATAAAGCCTGCTCCCGTTGTTGTAGCTGTGGCAGTAAATTTAATGTTTTTTGTTTTATTACAATTTAAATTTGCATTAAATTTATGTCGGTTCCATATTTCAATCGCGACGACACTATTCAACCAAATGAAAGTTAAAACCGTTGGTACAAATACAACAGAAAATATAATTATAAAATAATATGAATTTAAAGCCTAAAAAATGATTGTATTAATTAAAGTAAAAATATATTAAATTAAAAATTTAAAGAATCGATAATTTGATACCTTATCTGACGCACACATTTCAACGCTCTTTGCTTCAACACATTGATTTGGATCATTAGGATTAGTAATGATCAAGAGAATTGTTCCAGTATAATATGACATTAACATTGGACTAGCTAAACCAGCTGCTGTACCCCATACTAAAATAACAAACGCAAAACAACATAAAATACCCGGCTCCCAATTAACACCAGAGACAACTTTAACTACAGCCATATAACGATCAAATGCAATACCAACTAATGTCATACTATTAATTAAAATTGCAGCTGTTGACATAAATGGTATACAGGCGCACATAATATCTCCCAAATGCTTAAATATATACCAATTTTTATATTAAATTTTTCATTTACTTGACAATATAAAATATTTGTTTACCCAAATTTGAATGTATTTAGTTGAAAGCTGTGATATATAACCTGTTGTTGAAAATATTGTAGTAATAAGATCACTGGCAGCCAATGAATACAACATAATTCGAAAAAACATTCTCATTTTCCTAAATGAAAGAAAATTAAAAATAAAATCCTTTTAAAAGAAAACCTTTTTTAAAAATATTAAATATTAGGAATGATAACCGTTGATAATATTATTTCTACATATTATTTTCAATCTCTTAATTAATTAGTTAAAAAAATACCCGTTCATAATTTATTTTCTATAGTTTTTTATTGCACATACCTCTTTTGGCACTAATTAGTATGATTCATTTTTTTTTATCATTAATATTATAGTTTATTGATTTTTATTGAAAATTTCTACTTTTAATTATTTTAGCGGAATAAAAATGCATATGTAAAGACATAAGAGTGTGAGAATAATTAAAATATCTAATTATAAGTCTCGACTCTTGAGTACATAATAATATTTGATTAAATTATTAACATGGTAACAAAACTTTTAATTAATTTAAAAACATTGATAAAAGTAGTCAGAAGTATTCCTTCATTTGCAAAAGTTGCCATATTCAAAATAGTTTGAAATTCGATCGAATTATTATTTATTCCTTATTTTTAATATTTTTTTCAAAACTCATCAATTTACATTCTGAACAAGTTAAAGTTTAAAATGAAATTTCTATTATATACCTTCTTGTATTCACAATAATTGTTGCAATATTTGCTACCACTGAAATTATTAAAAATGCTGAAGCAAATCCAATAAATATGTGTCGAGTATGTTCAGTTAATGTTTGAAGTTTATAATCGGGATATCCTTGTTTCCAACTTATATTTGATATAAATATTCTCTCATAGCCCAATTCACGATTTTTTATTAAGCATTTATAAAACATTTCTTATACAATAACTAACTTTATAGCAAACAGAAAATATTTAATTTTTTAATATTATAATAACCTATGAATTTTGTTCGCCTAAACATAGGCAAAATTTTTAAATATGCGATAATAAAGTAATCCTATGATAATGAAAATATTATAACGTTTTGTTTGTATATTATTCATAAACTGAAGAAATTATAATTATTTCCTAGGTCTAAATATGTTTTTTTTCGACCAGCTATTATAAAATAAACCCATATACACATAATGATTATGAATATATTAAAATGAAATTATCTTTTTTTAATATGTTATCATTATCATTACATATATAGATATTCATTGACAATACTGTGAAATTCAGTATGATAATGTCAACTTTATTACTAATAATGATAAGAGCTTATGACCACAAATTCAAGTGTCTAGCCCAATCGATATAAATGTACTAGAAATATTTCTGTTCAATATTTTTTTTTCCTTTTTTAAATAAAATAGGAAATGTTATAAATAAGTTGTATTGTATATAAAATTATTATTAAAATATATCACACTCTTCAATTTATAATTCTTCAAAAATTTTTTATACTTCAATTATAAATAAGATAAAAAAGATGTAAAAATAATATATTTCATAAGATAAATTATCGGAAAATGATTTTGTGTGTGTGTGCGTGTGAATATGTGATTCAAATTTGTGACGAAAATGAATATGGGTTTTTTATCAGAAAAACAGAGAGTTTAATACAAATAATATTTGCCTAATTAAACTACAATTATTAATTTGCAAACTTAATTTATATTTTTTATTTATTAGTAATAATATTTCCTATACATTATTATTATATCCTATGGTTTCCTATACATATATAAGTACCTACATTTATTTAAAATAATAAACAAAGCTGAACAATAATAATAGATAAGATAATGTGTAATATAAATACCATAATAAAGAATTTGTAAAAATTATTAGAAGTATTGAATAAAGGATATTTTTGAATTAGTCACTTTGTTCAACAACTTCTTTACTTTTTTACTAGTACGAGCCTTTTTAAAATTCTACGCAAAATAACTTTACAGAAGATTCGTTGTATATAATAAAATCAGCTTCAGTATAATGAATTTTTAAATTGCATGTATCTGCATGGGTATGTTAAAGTTGGAATTTAGAAAATAGCATATTTCTTAACTATTTCACAGTTTCCTGTGGGCTAATTGCACACATATATTTCATTACATTTTTATAGAAATAAAATATTCGTAAATCAGTATTCTTTGAAAAATACAAAAATAATCGTTCTCTCAAATACAAAAAAATATGTACAAATAAAATACTTAAAGCCTGAATTAATAGAACAATAATTTAGCTTTAATTTTAAGTATGAATTTTTCAAAAATTTTTGCAATTTCTTACTGCATTTTCTATTCCAGTATAGTCAAATATCCGCAAATAATCTCAAGATTTTAATGTATTCTTAATGTTCTCCACAATATTTCAATGATTAATATTATAGGGATATTAATTCTTGTTGAGTAAAATTCAAATTTATTAAAACGTAATTGTTAATTATTTAGAAAATGTTGTTAAAAATCAGTTAAATTGTATACTGACGTCAACAACTCATTAATATTTTTAGATTTTTTAAGGCGGTAATGATTTGTATGTAGGAATAAAAATCAATTTTTATAAAGTTTTATTTGTGTGCTGATATGAATTTTGTCTATTTACAAATTTCCTTTGTATGTGATAAATTTATTGACCAACAAACGTTACTTAAATGAATGCTAATTATAATCGAGATAAATATAAAACGAAATTCATATGTAACTAAATGAAGAGTTGCCAAAATCGAAAATCAAATAAATAAAAAAATTATTTAATGGAAACCAATAAACAAAAATATATTTTGGTATTTTTCATAATAAATATGATTATATTATTAAGATATTAACAATAAAAAAAATTGTAAACAAAGATTAATTCAGCTTTTATTATAGATAAATTAAATTATACAATTGTAGAGGTAACGTTGTTCTTAATTAAATAGTTACCCAGTAGCTAAGAAGTAATGGTTAATGTAGGAATAAAATTTCGATTAAACGGTTTAAAATTATATAAAAAATGGTTTTTAATTTAAAATTTCTCAATTGACGAAGCTAATAATATTTATAAATATTTTCATAATTTTAAAATTTTTAAATTGCATATATTTCGGGGACCTAGCTTTTCCGATAAAATTTTATTCAATGGCGGCGTTACTTTTGGTCAACGTTTCGTTAGACTCATTTCTTAACGATTACGATATTCTTATAATGTCACCAGAAAAAAAGAATCCTTTTATATGCTTAATATCTTTGATAACACTTTTATCAATTTTGGGGAATACAGCAACATTTATTGTTAACATAAAAAGGTAATTAATAAAAAATATTTTTTTCAAATTAAGAAGAAGTTTTGCTAAAAAATTTCATGAATTCAAACTATTTTCATTTATGTTCTTTTTTCTTGTTTTAAAGGAAAATGCGAGGTTTTTACAGAACGTGTTTATTGTCTTTAGCATTTAGTGATTTAGTAACAACAGTCACCTCAGCAATTCCATTTATTGCACAATTGTCAGCAATAAGTACAGAAATTTGGGTAATATAACATAATATTAATTTAAATTTTCGTTCAGAAAGTACGTTTTAATTTATTTAGATTTTAGGAGAAATTTTGTGTGATGGAATCCCATTTGCATATACAGCCAGTTTACTTATTAATAGTATAACTTTAGCCAGTATTACACTTGTTCGATATATGGCAATTAAAAAAGTATTTAAAAATATTTTTTGGAACCCAGGAACATTTACTTGTATTGCTTTCATAATAGTTAATTATGGTTTGGCAATTATTTTATCAAGTCCAATAATTACAACATTTCACATTAAAAACTCCATTTTGATTATAACAAATCCAAATAATCGTAATGAAATTTGGGAAGAAAGAAAGGTGCAAATATGTACCCCAATTATAAATAAAGAGGTGATTAATTTTTTTATATTGAAAATTAATTTTTTGTTTAAAAATTTTAAAAATATTGTTTTTGGCTTCCTTTACGCAGATACTTAACGATTTATTCCTTTTTCTTTTCTTTTAGGAACCCAGCTTTATATTCTACTTTTTAATATACGGCATTGTCGTGTTACCAATAATATTAGTTTTTTTACTATTAAATTGTATAATAATTAAAGAAATGTGGAAAAAACAAATATGTTTTCGTAAATGTGCATCGTTATCAATAAAAAGTAAAAGTTTTTTAGGTTTTAATATAAAATCAAAACCAAATTCACCAGTTATATGTAAAAAAATTAAAGTATTACGTGCTGCAAATTCTAGAAATGAATTATCCATTAATCGTCCATTGACTTCAACACAACAAATCTATGAAAGTAACCAAGTATTCACACGTCACAATATACGTAATTCTTTTATAAAATTTTATAATAGTTCGAGTTACTTAAAAATAACATTAAATAAAAAAAATAATCGTCTAACATATCAAACTAAACTTTGTTTTATAATAATTGTATTGATGCTAGTTTTTTTAATTTGTCGATTTCCAAGATCAATTTTTCTTATGTTATATTTAGAACGCGTTAATATTACATTTGATGATTGGGCATTAAATTTTTCATTAGAGGTTTTATCATTAATTAGTTGTGTTTTAAATCCACTCTTGTATACATTTATGCCAGAAACATTAAAACTTTTAAATCATATGACAAACTATTTCAAACTTATAGCAATAAAATTAAAAAATTATTGTAAACTTCCAAAATTCATGAAAAATATATTTAATAAATGTAAAAAGGAGCACGATAGTGCCGTATTGAACGGAACAAATAAACATTTTTTAAAAGGCGAAAAGGAATTGTACACCATTTTGGAAGAATACTAAAGTAATCTAAAATGCTTTCGTTTCATAATAAATATTTTGCATGCTAAGGATCAGAAATAAAAACTGAAGAAAATTTAAATTAGTTCAACACATTTTTTTTACTGCTAAGAGTTATTGTTTTCTTATTGAAATTAAATAATCATAACGATTTTTGGAATTGTAAAATTTTTAAAATTCCAAATCTAATTTATTTTTAAATTTAAAATATGTGTACTTTACATTTAAAATATGTGTAATTATCCAACAATTTCATCAATCACTGATATCAAACAAAAATTTTAAAAATTGAATGAATATGAAACTTTAAAATTAAATATTAAGTAGAATAATTAAATTTTTGATATATTAACCATAACAATAATAAATAAATTAAGAAAATGAAACAAAACAATTTTATGGTTAATACACTGAGAGAAAAAATTTGTAATTGAACCGATAAATTGTCAATGAACAACGTTAACAAACAATCAAGTAAACTCCAACTAAGTTTGGCTTAATTTACAATTACTAGGAGTACTGGGTAGTGTTACTACTTACTACCTGGCGTGTTACCTAGTTTCTTCTTAAATTCAAGTGATTAATCCTGAATAAAAATGAATTGCAATTACAATTATAATTTTAAATTTGTTCAAATGTAATTCAAAAATTATCCAGTGTTGATAGAGAATTACAAACTTTTTTCTTTCAGTGCACAAGTAATTGAGTAATCATTTGAGCAGTATAGAAGTAAACGACAACTTAATTTATAACGTTCTATATTTAATATTGGTATGGATATTTTAGAAACGAATAAAATATTGTTCGAATAAGTTTAAAAACAAAAATAAATTTGGTTACAAGATTTTGATGGGCTATACAATTTTGGTAATTTTTGGTAATACACGATTTTTGCTCTATTAAGATTGTTGTGTTTCACTTAAAGGTCGTATATGGTATCAATCACCTAGAAATTCATATATTAAAAATATTTTTAATATAAAATAAATAAAACACACTTTTAAATTAGATTTTTATTTTTATTTGTTTTTTTGCTTATAATGTACTTTTATTTATTATATTCAATCCTTATTGTCTTTTTTTGTTGTTTTAAATTTTATTTCAAAATATAATTTACATCTTCATTACATTTATATTTATATAATTATTTAAAAATTTATGTAATATTTTATTTAATATTTTTAAGTGTAATATATATGAACTTTTCTCAAACAAGTTAGTTGTATTTATATAATATAGCAATTAATCAATGTATATGATAGTTTATAGTGTTAATATTAAATAATTTTATTAGAAATATCTCAAATGCATTAAATTTTATGATAACAAAGAAAAAAAAAATAAATATTTTTTTTATGTATTTTCTAAAGTAGGTAAGTGTAAATGTATATCCATTTCTGATTTAATTTCTTATTATAAATTTTAGTTCAAACTGTGAAAGTTTTGTTAATATTAAGTAGTATAATAATTATATCAAAAATGAAATATGAAAAAGATTTTGAGTAAAAATGATCAAAATAATGCATCCAATAAGTTTGAAAAATTTTTAAAAAAAGTTTTAATTTTCTTTCACATAATTTTAATACGAATTTGAAAATTTAATAAAATATAAAGGAAAAATTTAATAATCTTTAAAGATTTTATTAGAATAAATTTGAAATTTTTTCTAAATTTTCCCGTTTAAATTAAATTTAACTATTTTTTTAGTTAAATTTAGTTCACATAAGTTTTTTAAAGCAATTGCAGTGATTTTTTAAATATTTTGTACTTGCAGCATTTTTCAAAATATTCTTGCTTTTTTGATCTCTACTTTTTAATTTTATAATAATTTTCTATATAAAAAATAAAATAATAACTAACAATAATGAAAAAAGAAATATTTAAAATTGTGAGGAAAAATAAAAAAATTTTCAAAATAATTAAAAGTTAAAATTAATAATAGTATTAATATTTTATGGCTAAGTAAATTATAAACGTTAGTAATAAACTGGCCATAAACTATAGCCATCACTTTATTTAACATAAAATTTGTAAAATTCATGATAAATTTTTCATGGTAGATTTTTATTTATTGGGAAAATAAATTGAGTAAAACGAAAGAGTAACTTTCTTTTTTTGTTATTTACTATCTATTTAATCGTTTAGTTTACTATCTGTTAAAGAAGTCATTTATGAAATCTCATTTTAATTCTCATGAAAATTTAACAGTTCAAAAACAACAAATTGATAAAATCTTATTTAGTGTGTAAATCAAATAGTTAACAAAATTGCAAATTTTGGTAAAAATTTTCTCAATTATATTTTTAAACTTTCAAGCAGAAAACTTTTTTTGATTTATTTATTCTAATTTAGTTGATTGAATAAGAATGCCAAAAAGGAACTTAGAAAAACACATGAAAACTTTAAATTTTTTTTTTTTTAATTTCACTTTTAAAAACCATACTCACTTATATATCTTAATTTTAATATAAAGCCGAAAATGCTTTTAAGAAATTTTTGCTTGGATCATTGACGTTCGAGAAACTGTTCAAAAGACGCCAGCTTCTTATTTAAAGTCACTAATCAATTGTACTTAAGTTTTTAATGATCGAAAGCTCCTCGCTTCAAAATTTGGATAAATCTAAATATTTGTGTAATTTATTTGAATTACATATTTTGTATTAAACAGTCAATGAATGCTTTTTAATGTTTTTATCTTTTGATTTCGAAAATTTTCAATAATTTCTCGATATTGTTATAATATATTAACTTATTTAAAATTTTTCAATTATACTTAATAAATAATATAATAATTATAATTGTTGTATAACAGAAAAAACAAATATTTATACATCTTTAAAGATTTGAAAAAATAAATACAAAATTTTCTAATTTTTTTTTTTTAAATTCATTAAATTTTGCGTAAAGGTGTTGTACAATTTAAATGTGTTTATATATTAATTAGAGAATATTAATAAATTTTTTATCTTACAAATGCAAATTTTTTTTTAATAATTTTATAAGCATTTCATATATTACTGTGTATAAAATTTTATAATACAATATTTATTATAATTGAAGCAGTAAGTGGACAAAGGGGTTAACTTACATTTGCATCTTGACAATTTTTTTTATTAACAAATTGTAAAAATATTAATTTTTTTGTTACTTAACTCTTATGGGCACTGTCAATCTCATCTTCTATTAAGTTTTTAGGTATAAGAGTAATCACATTTGAAAGTATATGCATTTTCTGTCCGAAAAGCTTGATTTTTGCCAAAATGTTAGTTAGCCCCTCTGTCCACTTACCTCTCAAATTCATATCCTTCAAAAATTAATACTTAGAATCGAGTTTAATTTTAATTTAATTATAATATTTCAATATTGTCTATATAAAATAAAATTAAAATTATTTAAAACTATTAAAATTAGAAAAAAAACGTGAATAATATTTTAAAAATAATTTTTATTTATAATTAATTTATTAGAAAATTAAATTTTACAAAATAACCTTAAAATATTTAATTTTAAGAAAGTAAATAATATTTTACAATTAACTTATATAATAGCAATAAAAATATTTCATGTCTTATTTTAATGTTTTTTTTTTGTTTATATTTTTTAATAATTTAAAAATTATTTTAAATTAATTTTTTAAAACTAAAATGCTATATAATACATGAATAATGAATTTAAAAAAATGTTTTATTTCTTAATGTGTTTTTTTTTTAAATTTCTGCATTTTTAGTAAAAAAATTTTATGTATATATAGAAGCGAACTATTTTTGTTTTTAACAATTCATTTATTTTTTAATATAATTTTATTACAGAGGAAAAATATTAAGCATTGCGAGTATAATTTTCCATATTTTAAGAGAATATTGCAATTTAAGCATTTTTGTTTACTCTTTTCGTGTTTTAATATGTCATATAAATTTTATTCTCAATTTTTATTTATGAAGTTTTATGAAATATATAAAAAAATTTCAAAAACTAAATACAATAAATTACAAGTGAACATAATCAATTCGAGTTTTAAATATTAGGACGTATATAACACATGAACAATTCTGATATTTTCTAATATTTCTAGCACATTAAAAATTTTTGAACAAATTTAATATTTCTCACAAATTTAAAACGGACACTGACATTCTTGCTGATTTTAGTAAAGTTGTCTTGATTGAAAATTTGTGAATTTTGATATTAAAGTAAAAAATCGCGAAAAATTATTTTTATTTCAATAAATAAAAACAACCCTTGTTTATGAACCGAGGTGATTGTTTTCATGGACACACAAATTCGTTAGCGTTCCGAATTCTCTTAAGTTGGCGAATTTGCTAGCATTTGCTACTACGTATGGCGAATAATATCATGTATTATTTGACTATTTTTTTCATTGCAATGGCAGTATTTTTAGCAAATTAAAGTAAATAAATTTGCGTATCCGTTAGATCATAATTTTATTTGTTAGGATTTTCTTGATTTTGCAATTTCGCCATTAATAACCCTGAAGTGTCAAATGTAACAGATTCGCCAGGTTTTTATTGAATTCGCCATACTTTTATTGAATAAGCATTGATGACTTAACGTATTATTTAAAGTATATTATATTCTCATATCACATTTATTTTTATTAATTTGCAAACTTTTTTTATTATTGAATTAAATAATTTATTATTTGTGCAAATTTATTATTTTAAGGGGACATTTATGCTACCCCTGGCGGATTAATTTTTGCTTTGCCAGACCATTCTAATATATTATTATGCAAAATTAAAAAATATTAATTATTCATGTGATATTTGTAAAGGATTCAAGTGAGAAATCAGTTCGGTCATAATAAGCATAATTGAGGTCAAAGTAAGTAAACATTAATTAGTACACTATTTTTGGCTTAAAAATATTTCTATCATAATCTACTTTTACGAATATTGTCTATATTATTAGCTAAATTGTTTTTACAAATATACAAACATAAATACATACATATACATTTACTGATTCATACAAGTACACAAATACATAGTTTTGGTTAATAATTTTTTATAGTGGTATTATTTTTTTTTTTGTTTTTACAATAATAATTAATATATATGTAATATTTATGTGTTATGTAGGTAATATTTAAGCAGGTAAACATTTAATTAATATATTTCAAAAATTTTAATGAAATTTTGAAATATATTTTGGACAGAATTATTTTAGGATTTTTTTTTCTATATTATTTCAATAAATTACTCGTGCATACAGATTTAGATATACATACATAAATATATATAATCTTATTTATATATAAATATCAAATTGCATTTTAATTAATATCAAAACATGCTATTTTAAGTGTTTTAAGCTTCTTAATATTTGATTAATTAAATTTTGATTATTTATAATTTTTCTTAACACAGATTTTTACATTTTAAATTTAATCCTTATACACCATTTTGTTTTATTTTCTAAATGTTTGTATTTGTTTTTGTTTTTTTTCTTAAATAGCAATATAAATTTCATGTTATTATCTTAAATCGTGTTTTTTAATTAATTGTGTTTGAAAAAACACTTAAATTCTATAAAAATTTTATTGAAATTTGGAATATTTTGTTAAGTAGATGTAATTGTAATTTCAAAGGAATTAAAAGCGATTCTCCTGTATTCAAACTAATCATACACAATATGTCAAATTATTACACAAAAAACTCCAATACTTTTCAAAATAAATAAAACAGTGAGATTCTTTGTCGTAGTTTTAAAACGTTTTAGAGAAGCAAGATGCTTCCAACCATTGCTTTGAGTTTGAAATGAACGCTTAGCTTATAATTGAAACTTATACAGTTTGTTTATTTGGAAATTTTTGGTAAAATGAATTGTATAGCAATAAAGAAATAAATTTTGTGCTAAATTGTCAATTAACTACATAGTGGCACAAAACTTTTATTTCAGTAATCAAAAATTTCTTTTAAAAAAGTATTTTTATACATATTTTTCCGAAATTGTTATTTATTGAAGAAAAATTTCTCTAATACACATTTATTTAGGGAATGTAAGTCTACTTGCAAAACTTAAGAGAAAAAGTAAGGTAGCTCGGATCACAAAAGTTCAAGAGAGTTTTTTAATTTTCGTTACTACTGGAATTAGATTTCTGGAAATAGTGGTTAACTTTTGATTTCTTGCGCGGAGGTACGAACTTTATTGAAATTTTTGTCAATTCTAACAAAAATGTAAGGAATACCAGTGCTGAGAAGATTTAATGCCTTGATTATTTAAAATTAAGATGGACTGATTGTGTAATTATATATTTTAAAAATATCACATAAAATATTCGTATGTATGTCTAGAAGAAAGTTACAACACATGAATAAAACGATCAAAGAAAAAAATTGTTAATGATTGCTCAATTTATATTGCATTCACAGTATAAGGGTATGAGTAATTTTTATTACATAAGTACAACGAAATTTAATTGATTTTTGCATATGATTAGTAATGAATAGTACTTGTGTGATTATATATATATATAGTAATGTTGTAATAGAAATATTGCACCATGCACTTACTGCATATATAATTCATACATACAAAATTATCTCTTAAGCACACTTAAATATATATATTATAATATTCTTTGTCTTTGCTAAATTTTTGTGTCTTAATTGTAGACTTAATTTATTATAAAAAAAAAATATAAAAGAAATTTAATTATTTAATAATATAGATGGCAGTCTAATTACTTTTTTAAAATACTTCTTTACCCTCAAATTGTATTTTAAATTTAAATTTTGGTTTATCTCTTGTTTTCTCTTTTTGTGTTTGTATTGAATTAATAATCATAAGTTGATGGTGTCACTGATGTTGTATTTATGCAATCGCTATTAAAGTTATAATTAATTTTTATACTTTCATAAGGAATTGCTTTGTTTGCGATTACTTCATTTTTAACTAATCTGATTGTTACATAAACAATGTAAGAGTATTCTGGTATAAAATTATACAACTGTAATGTTTCTATATTCCTGTAAACAAAAAATAAAAAATTTTATTTAAAGTTTTTATTAAACTTATTAAAATTTTTAAAATCCGTACAAAAGAAGGTTAATTTTATTGTCTTTAAAGAATTATAAGAGCTTTAGAGAACAGAATAGAGAACAGCTAGTGTAAAGTAAATTCATAAATGATTACGGGATTTGTAATCAAAAGTGTTTTAATAATATTGTGATTTTAAAGAAATAAATTCATTTGGCTCTGTATACCTTATCTCCGATGTGTGAGTAAAGTATAATGATAAGAATTTTGAAGTTGAACGGTAAGTACGAGTTTTTTCGGTATTTTAGTTCTTAGCTAGATTTGACATACAGTATGTTTTTTATTGAAGAACTGCAAATTTGTAGTGTTCGATTTTGAAGTATTGTTTTGCAGCATATTCTATAGCCCATGCTGCACGTAAAATTTTGAAGTAAAATTTTGAATTATCTTTTTTTCATTTATGCCCTGAAATAATTGCGTTTTCAACAAATTTGTAATAAATTCACGTCCCATTTTTTTTTAATTCTTTATTTGAAATTGATTTAATAAACAAACAGCTGACTTTAATTTTGACATATTTACGCAACATAAAAGTGGTAGCGTCAAACTTTGTAGTATTTCAAATATTGTAGAAAAACTCTTTCCTGCATTAAATCCCTGAAATATTGTAAAAAGCTCAGAACTTGCAGCTCATCATGCAATACCGAAAAAGCCCGACTTTGCTGATTAGTTAAAGCTGAAACCCAGAATCAGTTTGACCTAAGCTATTATTTTCAATTAGATTAATAAGCTATATATTTCAATTAGATTAATTTGGATCACACTGATAAAATTGATAAGGTTTTAAAAATTTTTCGCTACGTAAAATCGTAATATTTTTTGTATATAAACAGGCACTTAAATGAAAATAAATAAATACTTTACCTACAAATTTTTAAAGAATGCTTTTTCTTCAAAAAAATATTATATGCATGTGCGGAAATTTTAAATTTATACAAACTCATTTCAAAACACTTAAGAATTAATAGCATCCGTTGCGTTGTGTATTTATTTTTGTGACAAATGATTTTATGGTTAACAATACTAATTTAAAAACTTACGTGTATTCACCGGGAACGCATTTCATATAATGAAACAGTGGATGGCGTTTGATATTATCTCGACTAAAATCCATACAGTAATTTGTTTCACTTGAACTACGTTGAATTTTCGGGAATTTCAAAACAATTGCACAATATCTGAAATTAAATTTTTATTTGTATATTTATAAGAAAATAATAAATATGTTTATAGTCTTTAAAAATATATGGTTTAGATTTTTTGCCCCTTGAATCTCGCGAAAATAGATTTGAATCATCTACAATTTTTTTTTATATAAAGGTTGTTTTGAAGAAGGAAAACAACGCTATTGGAATCTGGCCACATGGACTGAGTAAGAAAAATGAAATACTTTTAAATTAATATAGATATAATGCTCATTATACTTTATAGAGATTTACATATTTGATACAAATTTGTTAAAATTAATAGAGTAATAGAGTAGAGATATATATCAATTCCTATAGCAAACATTAACCAATATACTTACTCAATTTCTCGACTATCTGGTGAACCATACCAAGCAATTTTTGTTGTGTTATCACATGTCCTGGCCGAACGTATTTCTGTAATTGTTGTATCATTTGGCATTTGTGGTATGTAATCCCGAAAATTATCCGTTGATACGGCAACCTGGGATGACAAAATATTCTTTAAGAAACTTACTGAATTGAACTTTTTTTTAAGAATTAAAATTTTCTTTTTTTAAATTTTTACTTTAGAAATACTTACACCAACTTTATTTGCTTTTAAAATTTCATCAACATTGCTCGGTGTTATCCTTAAAATATATCGACCATTACGTTCTACACCATTTGATAATGTTACAAAAGTTGGTTTATAAATGTTAGTCTCTAATAAAAGTTTTGTACGATTACGTAAAATTTTTGCATCAACCTGACTACCACCACATGGTAGGATTAAATAAGTTAATTGGGTAACGCTTGAATAAGATGGAATCTGCATATATACAAAAAAAAAGTGTAAGTTTTTAAAAAAGGGACCAAGGTAAAATAATATTTGTAGGATTATCCTAATTCTAAAGAAAACTGAACTACCCAAAGGATATTTTTTCTATACAAAATAATTTTATTATTATACGTTTTGTTATAAAACTAATTTAAAAATTATGGAAATATACAGAAATTTTTTTACTTTACCTTAAAACTAAATACGGAATTCGATGTTATACCAGATATTTTCTCAATGGTTAATGAATTATCCTTGAGAACTATTGGATGGGTTTTATTAAACCAGACTACTGTTGATTTTAATAGGAATGGTAAGTTTCTATAACCTAAATGTATTCCAAATATATCAACATAATATTTCTGATTAACTTCCAACGCGCTAATAATCTGTTGTGTTTTTTTACCAGTACAAATTATATTTGTAAAATTTTTATCTGAAAATATTTTGAAATTTATTAATAAAAAATTATTGATTATTAGTTTTTGCAAAAATATTCTTAGTTTTACACAATATTCACAAAACGTACTTACAAATTTCTTTAATTTTTTTTCTTTGCTTAAACCAAATACCGTCAGGTGTCAAGTAACTACAATCACCGCGTACTCTATAATAGCGTTTCTGTAATGAATCTCCCACAGATTCACAAAAGTTTTCTCTTGGCTTTATATCGTTTACTATCATGCAATATTGAACATTATGAACATCCAGTTTGCTGTTTACAAAATTTATAATCAAACATTATTATTCAAGCTAAATTTTTGATATTTTTGAAAAAAATCACCTTTTACTCCATTTTAAAATCATTTGTTTTTTTTGAATACGATTTTGTGTTCGCAGTTTAACTTCAACACTTCGATTACGTAAAGACCATTGCTCGGACGGATGAGCATCAATAGCTTCAATTTTAACATTTAAACGTTTTTTAGTTTTTAATGTTGTTCTAAATGATAGAACAATATCGTAAATTCCTGGTATTGCACATGGTATAAAAATATCTCTTGAATCATTCTTAATAACTGATTTAGTAAATAGAAGAAAAAAATTAAAATGTCAAGTTTTAAAAATCACATTCGGTTTTCAACTTCATTAAAAATCTTAGATCTTAGGTATTATTAAATACAATATAATTTAAAATTATTCACTTACTTGAATTGTTATAGTAGAGAAACTTATCTACAAATATTGCCTTTTCTTGAATATCTTGTTGTGTTCTAATTGATATTTCCAATGGTGTGATTTCAGTTAAAAGTAAAGTAAACCTGAAAAGAAATAAAAGATTATTAACAACTGCATTGTCTATATATTTTATAAAAACTGACTATTTTGCACAGACAAAACTTTTAATCATATATAAATTTATTTAGTCTTGGTTTCCTACAAGTCAGGGAAAAAAACCCTTGATAAATTAAACATAAGAAAATTTAATAGTGATATCTCAGATGTGAATTTAGTGTAAAAGATATTGAGTAAATTTTTACTTCTTATTTGACCGCAAGTAGGGGATCTTTCCCCTACTTTATTTATACACTTTACCCATATTTTTATTTCAATTCTAAATATTAAAAAAAAACACGGCGAAACGTTTGTTTTATACAATAGGAATTATTACTGAGGTATAGAATAGACAACGCAAATATCTTATGTCTTTTCCAATAAATTGCAATGAATTCCAATTTTCCAATGAATTCCGATAAATTGCAGAGAAATAAAGTTTTGAAAATGTAACTAATAAATTCTTGATATTAAAGTTATAGTGCTTCATTAATTCAGAAAAAGTTGTCTGTTGACGAAAAATTTTACGTTCGGTCTAATACTTCCCGCATTTTTAGTAAACGTAGTATTCATGTTGAAATATGTTATAAAAATATTGTACAATTTCTGATTTATGCCAGTGTTATAAAAATTAAAGACCAAGAAAAATATAATACCAAATTTTCTTTTATAACAAAATTTACTTACACATTTATAAACATTATTAATATTATGTAATATTTATCCATTATAACTTGTCATTCTCAACACATCCTATATTTACATATAAATATTAGAATACGAGTAATAAAAGTTGAGTGTTTTTGTTTCTAAAGTTTAACTTGATTTTGCTTCATTTAAATGTAATTTTCACAGTAATCTTTCAACATGATGTTAAAAAGATTTTTCAATCTTTCAATCATATAAGAGCACATGTTTGTACCTATATTGTTGTCATATATAGAACGAGTCGAAAAGCATAAATTTACAGTAAGATCTTTGGAAATCAACTATGTATTACTATTAGAATATGAGAAAAATTAAATAATTTTTTCAATCCTTTAAAATGATAAAAGTGAAGCTCAAAAATGGTTGGACATTTTATATTTGATTGTTGCATATACACAGGCGAAAACTTAAGAAAAATTTAAAATGAAATTTTCACACATTGCAGAATATGGATTATTATAATTAAATATGGGATTTGCCAAATATAGTCAACAGAATAAATGAAATATTAAATTTAAAAATAGAATCAATAAAAGAATTTACAAAATTAACAAATTAAGTGATTAAATCGTAAGCTAATCAAATATTCAAAAATATTTTATAAAATAGAATGATAATTTTCCCAATCTGCAATTTCTTGAATATTTTAAAATTAAAAAGAAACTGCCTTTGGTTTATGCTAACATATATTTATTTCGTGTACTACACACGGATTTTATCAAAGCTGATTTTTCTCTACTTAAGAAAGCTGTTCAAGTAGTTTTCATGTCAAAAAGGAAATAAAATTATATTAAAAATTAAAAGTAGTTTGCAGCAAAAAATGTGAAGCTTTTTAAAAACAGGAAGTTTTATGGCAATATTTCAAAGCTCAAAGATTCCTTGCAACTCACACTTAGAAAAGGAATTTACTAATATTTTTTCTCTCATACTTTGGGCATCAATTTAGTTTAATTACTTAAAGTTACATAAGTTGCTGGTGCAATTAAACGTCAAGTCGGTAAACTCTCACAATTTTTTTTTGCAAATACAAGCTAGCAAATTTGATGGATTCAACTGTAGACATTCACACATTAGAATCTGACAGTAATTTTCTTCTATATTTCCTTATTGTTATTTAATGTTTTCATAATTTAAAAAAGTCTTTCCCTACGTTTCGGGAATACAGGATACCATAGAATGGGAGTGTAGATTGTAGAAGAGTTAAGAACATTTTTATCAACAAATTTCTTTTTTAATTTTTCCTCAGTTTTTATTTTTCATTTCTTTCTTGTTTTAGAAAGTGTCAATGTGTCATTCATAATTCTTGTTTGTTTTTATTTTTTAGCTTTCCTTATTGTTGTTGTTTTTATGGAAAATTAGAAAATAGAAAAAAAAATGGTTACTAAAATATTGAATATGCACGACAATTTTGTATGAAGTTTCTGTTAGAAACAAGTAAACTAAAATTTATTATATATATATATATATATATATATATATATTTATTGTATGTACATTGTGTATGATTGCGTATTCTGTATTATTTGGATGCTATACAAGTTTGATGGTACGTCATTTATTTATTCTATAAGTGTATGCAAAGATGCCGTAAAAGAAATTATTTTCGATTTATATGTATGATATGAGGAAGATTGAGAAAAGTAGAGTTGCGTTCAATTATTTGAATGTGAGCATTTACTGAAAAATTTTAATAAGTTCAAACGAATAGTTTTAATTAATTTACGAGAAAAATATTAATTTACGTAAATGTTAAGTAAAAAACTGTAGCAAATTTACAAACAAAATTGTAAAAGAAATTGGTTTTAGTTGTTAAATTTATTTATAAGCACACACATTTAAATATATAGACTCCGTCCTCCCAAACATTCTATTAGTATTTCGACTATTTACAAAATAAGAATTTTATGAGAACGAAGAAGGAATTTATTTCTCCGTCCTAATTTTTTAAAGTTATATTTCCTGTAAGTCCTAAAACTGTCGGTTTTCGACCTATCAAGTTAACGTCTGTCGCAACTGCGAAAATTTTAATTTTCGACTAACTATTTTTTCAAAACTATATAAATTTTCCAGTTTCCTTTAGAAGTTAAGGTTTAATTAGATAATATTGTGTATTTTAAATAATTTTGGCTGTGGAATTCGAAGATTATTTTAAAAACAGTTATGTACGTAGATGTCGTAATGTTTAAAGTAAATAAAATCTCGTTTATTTTAAAAATAGGTTTTGTATGATTTTTTATGCTTAGAGAGATTTTACAATCTAATGATGCTTTGATTCTAACTCAATCTAAAAGATTTTGAAATCAACTTGAATCTAAAAAAAATGTTTTAGTCGCAATTGCTCTTTTGAATTCTAAGTATGAATTGAATTTATATTCTAAATTTTTATTTAAGACAATTTTTTAAAATCTAATCGCATATTCTTGTCAGTTTTTCGTTTTAAATTGAATTATTCGTTTTCTTTTGAAGCCGCCTACATTACACTTTTCTTTTGCAACTTTTCTGAAACCTTTGATCCTTGATAAAAATTTAAAAAAACAATTAGTTTATGAGAAAATAAGTGAAGGATAATATGCACAAACCTTTGCTTTTTTAAAATTTTATAAAATTACACGTATTTCGTTACAAATTTTTGTAATATTTTTCAATTCCAAAATATATTTACTCGTAGATGTTTATTGTAAAAAACATTAGCACTCCAGGCTGGTTTTAAGTTTCTTTAGGAATTCCAAGTTAGTTTTTAAGTGAATTTTTAATAGGTTTTATTCTATGGCAAGTGGAACCAAATATTTCAATATCAGGTGACAGTGATTCAGGAAAAAATATTCCAAGACTCTAAACAAAATCATTGAATAAAAATTAAATGTAAAACGAGTTAAAAAATCGTTCATTTTCCATAAGTTGGTTGTACATACTTGTATTTCAGCAGTTTCAAATTTTTAAAATGAATTTATTTCGATGAATTTTCCCCATTCAAATTTTCTTCATATACAAAATACATACATTAATATTATAAAAGAGGGAAACCTTTTTTTTCTGTTTGTGAAAAATTGTTGCAGAATTTGTCGTGCTCTTTCCTATTGTCTTTTTCATTCATTCTTTTGTAAAATGTTGCTGTATATACGTACATGCATAGTGTGTTTCGTCAATCATTTTAATGATGCTTAAGTTAAGTGACAGTATGATAATAATTCATTAGGAAGTGAATACTTTGTATACAAAATTATTTTCATTTGAATGAAGTCAACATCTACAGCACCGCTCCAGAAAAAAAAGAAAAACAAACCATAAAAATAAAAATAAGAAAAAAAAGGTTATAATTTTGTTTTGCTCCTAATTTAATTTATTTTCCGTTTCCGTTTCAAGTAACAATGGATGGGGCATTGTTTTTCTTTTACAAAATTACAAATTCAAAATTCATAAGTTCCAAATATATTTTCTAATTCTGTTAGTCGTAATAAAGTACAAAAATAGCGTATACTTTTATGTAAATTGTAAATGAAATTGTTTTTTTTTATTTGATTTTAAAATTTAGTTACATTTTTCCAAGAATTTTAAAGGGTCTAACTTGTATTAGATAATTATGAATTTCAGTCCTATTTTCACTTGAATTATAAATTGTTAATTACGTTCATTAATGTTTTATGTTTTAGTTTATTTTAATAAATTAAAACAGTTTAATAAAATAAACAGTCTGGAATTAGAGATATTTTCGAATGTTTTAAATTTGACAATTAACAACCATTTAAAACAAATGAGATAAAAACTATTGTGTGGGTAAAATAGTATCACATTTATCTTAATTTTAATAGTAATTTTTTAATAGTATTTGTTTTATCACATTTTCCACCATACGGTATTGTGTTTGGCACGTTGCAAATATTTTTCCAATAACAGGAATACTAGAGTAATGGATGTATAACAGTACAAATATTTTTTTTTAAAAGAAGAATTAAGATTTTTAGATTTATTACGATGACTGCCAAATTAAGAACGATATGAATCATCAAAGTGAATCATCAAATGAAGATAAATTGTGCCGTTATCTTGCGTAATCGATCGAATCCTGACGGATTCTAAGTCTACCAAATCATTGAATAAAAATTAAAATTTAAATTCTATTATGTAACTACAATTTTATTATACAGGACTTTGTTTCATTCATTCCAAAAACAAAATCCAGCATAACATATCTAAAATCAGTCAAATATGATTTCACTGTTTTGAAGTAGAGCACAATCAAAATCTATATTTTTATTAATAGAAAATCTTCAAAGACAAT